AAAAAAAAAACTGCAGCCTTATGGGTGAGTCTCTATTCTATTCCCGGAAATACTCCTTTGATCAGGTCAGTTAGGATCAAGGTGGAGCGATTTGGACAAATGAAAATTCAATTGGACAACCATCAAACCGAATTGGTCAGTTCGGTTTTTCCTATTTAGTACATGATGGGAACCGATTTGGACAGCCGATATAGGTTGGGGGAAGTGATGAGCATTTTGGGCATATCAGATTTAGGTAGGGAGAAAGGATGAGCATTTTGGACATACTGGATATAGGTTGGGATGAATGATGACCATTTTGTACAAAATGATTTAACAGTTTGGAGTCTTTGGACGCATGACGGAGTTAGGCAGATTGATTTAACAAATTATTAGTATTGCCAAACCACATTTAGTTCTTAAACAAATTATTAGTATTGCCAAAACCACATTTAGTCCAACAATCAACCGATTTGAGATTCTGCAGAATCTGCACAGACCATGGGGACCAACAAAGATATCAATTTAGTGGAAGAAATTTTGCATGTTAGTCACATGCGTCTGAATCACGGGCCTGCTGCTCCTGTAAACTATCGACCGAGGTGGACGTGCGCAGCACACACGTGAGTGACGCACCATTTTCTGTGGGGCCCACCAAGTTATGCGCTTGTCAGTCTATAAGTCGTTCGGTCCTTTGACGAAAGGCACAGTGGGTCTGTCCAAGTTGCTAGAATACCTCCTGTCCATATAAATTCACAAGGTGTCCAATTCTAATCTACGGTTCCAAGAAGCTTCCACACAAATCTAAAACGTTTGGACTACACGCCCGATTCCAATCTACCTGTCCATCCAAGAAGCTTCTACGAAATTCTAAATCGGTTCGCCGTTTCTCTAACCTAGGCGCGCTCACCTAAAGTGATAAAGAAAAGAAACCAATGGCCAGACCCGGGCAGGGCCTGCCCATTTCGGTTCACCAGATGTCCAAATAGATAGCGGCAGTATGCATCAAACTTAACTGGTCAAAGGAGAAATAATGTAGGGTGTCCTAGAGGGGCATACTTGCAAAAGTGTGAACTTTATGGATTAGGAGTGAAACTTGGACCGATGACCAGAAGATGTATAGAAAGGGAAGACCGTAGCTTTGTTTGTTTGTTTTTTTTTCTAAAAATTTTAATACTAAGCTGTCTCAATTCCACCTTACACTACCTAGCTATTGGTCCGATGACCCGAAGAGGTACAGAAAGGGAAGACCGAAGCTTTTTTTTTGTTTGTAATAACTAAGCTAGATTCTTTTCTCTATTCCACCTTATAACACTACCTACCTACCACTACTCCTCGTTATAGAATTACGAGGCACCCCGTACCATCCAGCCTGAGTCCACAATGCCTCAAACGAGGGAACATGCGGGGGCTGCACCCTCGACCTGCAGGTGGGCGATACCGGCCAGGGGACAGCCAGTAGCATCAGGGACCATGCCAAGGGACCAATCCCTGTGCCTCCCCTCAGGTGGTGGTCCACCCCCCCCCCTACGAACATCAGCAGCCTCTGCTCAATGCCGCCCAGGGGATCCAATCCCGTGGTCTATGGGCCTCACCACACACTACTCCCCCGAAAGAAGTGGCTGTTTCCGGGAGTGCGGCATCGCCACACCAGCTCCCAAATTTGATCTGATCTCTCCCCGATCAAATTGGGGAGCTGTCAGAATTTCACTCCCTACATTCTTCCCCCGAATACAATGTACGGTCATTATAGCTGTATTTTAGGCATCTTTCTGTCTAGGTACAGCCATAATGACCGTACGTTGTTGTATTCGGGGGGAAGAAGGTAGACCACTCCCGAACCCCCAGCCT